TGAAATAAATATATATATATATATTTATTAAAGACATTTTATTATGTTTAACGTTGTTATTTTTTAGATGTTTTATTTAAGCAATGAAAAAAATGATAAAGGTATTAATTAACATTTTAAAAATTTTAATAAATTTATCATAAACCCAACGTTCAATAAAAATCAAGGGAAATGTCAAATAATTAAAAATAAGGATCAAAAACCTTCTCCATTTTGAAATATATATATATATATATATATATATATATATATATATATATATATATATATATATATAAACTTAGTGAGCCAGACAAACCTACCCAGGTTTCACCTAAGCGGATCGTCAGAGGAAAGTTTATCTAGGCCTGCTCTACGGTTGTATTGAGCTCTTTTTTAGTTAGTTGTTTAAAATTTCGGGGTTTTTCTTTGGGCTTTAAACCTGTATCTGTTGATTTTTTTCGACAGACTTTCATGTTTCTAGCTCTTTCTTTTTTTAAAACCTTTTTTTATATTTGAGATTGATTTGATTATTGGCAAATCAAAATTCGAAAGGTTTTTCAAAACATAGTATAGTTACCTATATTTTTATATATATATATATATATATATATATATATATATATATATATATATAAAATATATAACTATCCTCAATGTAACTTATATATTTATATTATATATATATATATATATATATATATATATGGAATTTTTCTAACGCCTATCGTTCTTAATACTGGTAGTCTATTCTCTATTACTATATTGATTTCTATTCTAAAGTATTATCGAGCAATTACTATTATTGCGTCCGATATTTGAAGGCGTCTGACACCAGTATTGTTCAACGGCGTTACTATAGCTTGTATCTACGATTGCAATGTCTCTACTACAACGAGTATTTCAGTAATGACAACGAGTATTCTCTTGACAATTTTCGTTGACATCACAAAACAATACAAAAATACTTTTACAAACTTTGGGGACGGGTTTTTTTTAAAAACAAGATAAAAATATAAATATATCGTTTTTATTTCAACACGGCAATTTATAAGAAACTAGCAGTGGAGCCCGGCGTTGGGGATGTAACAATGAGATAGATCAAGTATCGACCATCATAAAGACTGAAAAATAAAATTGACAAAGATTATTGTTTAAGGTTGACGGACACGCATGTCTTTTTTTTTTTTTTTTTTTTTTTTTTTCAAACAAAATTCAAACTCAAACAAAACATTGTTTTTCAATCGTTATGAGTCTACCGATTGAATAGAATTTTATTATAAACAATTGTCTTGTAAATGGAATTTTTAAAGCATTCTGAATGTAAAAATAAAGAAAAAAAGTGTGCAAGACAATAAGAAACACTACCTGCCAAAAAAAAAGTGAAGTTTTATTTGAAATCGGTTGAAAAATGTAGGAAATCCGATCCCATATATAAACACACACACACACACACACACACACACACAAACAACCTGGGTTTTATAATAAAGTATAACTCGATATGAGTTGTCCCCCTTTCATTCTCGACAGCGATGCCTCTTAATCGTTTTTTCAAATTGATTTTTGCAAAAACAATTTGTTGTTTTTCAATTTTTGGCGCTGTCAGAACCACCGCAAAGGTAATTTTACGTAGTCCTGTGAAGTTTTGTTGAAATCAGTTTGAAAAATGTAGGAAATCCGATCAATATATAAACGTACAGACACACACACAACACACACACACACACAATCTGCGTTTTATAATAAGTATAATGTTCAAAATGTCCATATTCTTTAATAAATCCAAATCCGTGTAATCAGTAACTGGCGGACCTTTAAAAATACTATAGTATCAATTTTTTCGCGGACCCTATGACACGTTGAAGACAAGATTTTCTGCAAATTAACCTCTAATACATAAACCAATTCTTTTTAACAGCCACACAGATTAAAATCAAGGACTGAAATCATTAAAAGAAAAATGTCCCTAATATTTATATTGGGTTGTCCTATCCATCTTTCATGGTACTTGTTTTCCAAAAATTAAAAAAAATGTGTTTTAAAAATGTTGGAATTTTTGCATGAACCGAGCCTATCTTCGTATTTCAAATTAAAGTATATCCTCTATCAGAATGAAAAGATTGTTAAACTTTAAAAATGTCCTTTTTTTTAGCTCCCTTAAGACGTGCTAGAAAATATCAACCTACTAGACACAAGATTTTTAATTCACATAAAATTACAATTATTCTGACAGAGAAGTTTGGGGCCTGTATTGCACCATTAATTTTTCAATCCAGATAAAGTTTGATAAAATTAAATTTGTTATTCCATCTCTTTCAAATATTGCCTCATCAGTTAAAAGACTGATGAGACAAACAATTGGAAGGCGGATAAACCATCTGTTAAATTTTCCCGTCATGATCAGAACCAGTTTTTTAAGTGGACCCCAAAGATAAAAATACAAAAGATAAGGATGCCGGATTTTGTGCAGGAAATGGGATGGATTTTTGAAACCTATCCATCATCTTTCAGATGTCAGCCAATGCAATATAGAAGAATGTGACTAAAATGTACTGGAGCACCATCATGTATGAACCAAATATTTCTTCGTATTTAGGAGTACATAATAGCAGAAAATGGAAAGTGTGTTCAAAATAAATTCTTTGTATAACAACTAGATATAAGTGAAAAAACATAATTTTTTACCATGACAGTCTATTAACAATAATTCCATTAATTAAGGGTTTAAACCCAAAATGATGTCTGCCTGAAAATTTTACAAGGTTCAAATGAATCCGACCAAGATTGTTTGTGAAAATTTTTTATTTCATCTCTACCATATGTTGCCTCATCCATAAACAAAAATGAGATATAAACAACTGATAGACAATTTTTAATAAATCATTGGCAAAAGTTCTCCTGTTGAATTAAGAGACCGAAAACCTTGAACTAAAGATTTGCAAAAATATGGATACATAAATGATTTGAAACTAATCCATGTTTAAACTATTATTTATAGTTTTTTGTTGTATATATATACATAACTTTTGAGCCAGTAAAAAATGATTTTTTCCCTTTATGGTTTACCAATAGAAGATTAACCAATATAAGAAGCCGCAGAACACTGTAAGAAAATGTATAAATTTAGCCATCTTTGTTTACTCTACCGGAATGACCAGAGCCAACATGTCAAAAAACATGACAGACGGAAGAACTAATATAATTTACTTTGCTGCGATATCCACTATAAAACCTGCACTACGCTTTCCTACTGTCTCCGAAAATATTCACTGCCAACCTCTGATTCTATACTCGAAACGACCGTCATGAAAGTCATATATATAACAAAAAAATATAGATGTATTTAAAACATATGATGATGCCTGGATCATCTCCAGCAGTCAATAGAATATGTTCTTAAGTGGTAAAGCGGGCGATCATATCTTTTCTTCCTCGATCCATAGTTTGTGGTGCCACGGATCATCCTTCAGCGTGTTCGACGATAAACAGCAACAAAGGTTCAATGACTCAGCTGTCTTCGGTCCTGAAATAATTTGTGCAGTCTCGCGTCCATTACCATTGATTATTACCGTATTTAAAAATCATATCTGCCTATAACAAATGAATATCATGTCATTTTAATATAAGAACACTGGTTTTAAAATCACTACTAAAACGATAAACGTTTGAAGACAGATTAACCACAAATTATAAATGATAAATTAGTCTCCATTTAAATTACAGTTCCATTAACAATAAACTTTCTTTAAACTTAATAACTCAAAAACGAAGGGTTTGTGGACGTATGTTTATATGAACGTTTGTTTGTGTTTTGGTGTGAGGAACCCGTCAACAAAGTTTGTAACATTATTTTTAATAGACCCTGTATAAGGTTTTCTTCCGTTTGGCGTGATAGAAGACTCCCTAAAGTTTTTCTTATATTATTTAAATTATAATGCTCTGTCGTGGGGGACTCTGAGGGCCCAGTATTGTTGAGCTCTATTTTCCTTTAAGCAGTATACTCCTTTGCTAAGGTTCTACTGTTTCCCTATGATATCGAGCACTTTCTCTGTTTTTTTTTAGTCAACATTTCCTGCTGTTTGGATTTTTCCCCAAATAATAGTCATTTTACGTTATTTTAATCTGAAAATTAAATAAACACAAACAAAACAATTGTTCAGAGAAAGATCAAGTTGTTTTTCCCCTTAAACAATTGAACAGTTCTTCCGCATTTAAAAGATTAGTTTTACGACACAGGAAAAAAAAAAAAATGATGACAAGAAATATTTTATAGTTTGAAATTAATTCATTTAAATAATATGTGGAAATAACTGTTCTTTGGCTGTTGAAGGTCACAAAACTCGAAACACCTGTAGAAAAAATATAGAAAATAAAGTATAATATATAAAAAAAATCACATCATAACCAAAAACGTTTGCGGCCTCTTTGCTCTTTACTATATATATATATATATATATATATAATGAAATGGACAAAGTCCGACAATTATTTTAAGACATTTTTATGTTTATACATTCTTTTAATAGATACAAATATTTAAGTAAATGCTCTGCTTTATAATAAACTGTATTCATAACATTTACCGGCCTGAATGTCCGAGAAATTTTCATAGAAAATATTCGTCCTCCGACAGGAATCGAACCTGTATCCTATATGGAATGAAAATTTAGCCTGACGTGCCTAAACCGATCGAGCCACGGAGGATCGGTAAATGTTATTAATACTGTTTATTATAAAACAGGGCATTTACTTCTAAATTTGTATCTATAAAAAGAATCATAACTAAGTATAAAATATTTATATATATATATATATATATATATATATATATATATATATATATATATATATATATATATATATGCGTATTCAGAGGGGCGTGTTTAGACATGTTTCAAAATTGAATGATTTGGAAAAAATTTCTGTCTACTTATTTTCGATAGGATCCTTTCATATTCATATTCTTTTTTGATGTCGTTATCGAATGACGCGAGAAAATCACCGTTTTGATAAATATTTCCTTTATTTCCCTTAAAAGTACTTTTAACAGGAAGCACAATGTCATCAGGATAAATATCTGTCTATATTTATGAGAAACAAATATATGTACATTATTTAGAAATTATCCGGACTAAATAAACGTTGTCATTTGTACAACGTCAAAAACGTTCGGTCTTGTTAAATATGGCAAGAAAGATGAGGACAATAGTCTGAATAATGTAAATAGTGTACATAATACCTCATCTCAAAATGTTAATTGGGTTTCTTGAAATCGTTATAAGTTTGCTTCAATAAACAAAAATGCCAGGATATTGTTATTCACTGGCAATAATTCTGTAAAAAAAAAAAAAAAAGAAAACGTAAAAGATTCCCAATCTATATGAAACAATGAATTATTTTTCCGTAGTATTCATATTGCAATTTTTTTTGCTGTTATCATTACATTTTTTTTACCAGAGCTCATATTGCAAAGAGTGTGAGTTAAATACCTGGTTAAGGCGGTGGAGAATTTGGAGAGGGGAATTACGCTCTGGCCTTCTTCGGGTGGCACGTGGAACTAGAACAGTCTACCCCAGTGAGCGAAATAAAGGGTTCAGTTCGACATTTATTTATAAGAAAGAATTATATATAGTATACAACGGCTGAAAACGTTGTGATAAAATGGCAACAAAGATAAGGATGATAGTCCGAACAATGTAAATAGTGACAAATGATTTTGTCAGAGAGTTAATTAAAGGAGAACACAGTATTCAAAGCATATATAGAATTTCCCTACAAATCTCGAGAACTAATTTGCCATTTTCAGTAAATATGCTGCCCAGATATTTGAATTCACTGGTTTGCTTTAGGTGGGTGCCATTGATGTTAATGTCCAGTTTTTTGGTTTCTTGCTGACGGTCATGACCTCAGTCTTAGGGACACCGACACTGATTTTCATGTCGTATTTCTCGCAGCTTGAATTGACTTAGTGTGCGTCCTGCAGCTGGATCCTGAAAACGGCAAACTAGACAGAGAAATCGAGATCAAATATCAAAAGCATTCAGTTACCAACTTGCTCCTCCATAAAACCTCTAGCATTTCCATGGCACCAAAGGAAAAATCTCATCAACGCCATTTTCCTACCAACGTTGACATACCAGTGCCAGACATGACCCCTAACAAAAACCCTTGAGAGGAAACTGATCCTTTGTGAGATGAAATGCCTGAGGAAAGCAGTGAACAAGACCGGGTGAGACAAGATCAGGAATGAGGCAATAAGAGATATGGTAAGGGCAATACCAATCATACAACACATCAAATGACAGAGGATCAAGTGGTTCGGACCCCTCACTCGTATGCCTATCAACCAGCCCTACGAGCATACACCCTCAGATACTCTGGCTGGAGAGTGAGAGGCAGACGAAGTAGACGCTGGAGCGACTCAGTAGCAGACATGGCCCCTAACAAAAACCCTTGACAGGAAACTGATCATTTGTGAGATGAAATGCTAAGGAAAGCAGTGAACAAGACCAGGCGAGACAAGATCAGGAATGAGCCAATAAGAGATATGGTAGGAGCAATACCAATCATGCGACACATCGAACGACAGAGGATCAAGTGATTACCTTACTCGTATGCCTATCAACCAACCAGCCCTATGAGCATACGCCCTCAGGTACTCTGGCTGGATTCAAGTGGCAGACCAAAAACGACGCTGGAGCGACTCAGTCCAGAATATTCTCAGAGATGTAAGATATCTCGCCACTCGCCTTGCCGTTAAAAGACAATGAATTGTCCCCTAAACGACGCCTAACAGCACAATACAAAAATCTATCTATCTATCTATCTATCTATCTATCTAAAATCTGGCTGGCTGGCTGGATTTTGTCTTTGTTCAATATGTATCTATTTTATCTCAAGGCTATTTTCATATCTATCTATCTATCTATCTATCTGGCTGTCTTTGTTCGTATGTATATATTTTATCTCAGGCTGTTCATATCTATCTATCTATCTATCTATCTATCTATCTATCTGTCTGGCTGTCTTTGTTCGTATGTATCTATTTTATCTCAGGCTGTTCATATCTATCTATCTATCTATCTATCTGGCTGTCTTTGTTCGTATGTATATATTTTATCTCAGGCTGTTCATATCTATCTATCTATCTATCTATCTATCTAGCTAGCTGTCTTTGTTCGTATGTATCTATTTTATCTCAAGCTGTTCATATCTATCTATCTATCTATCTATCTATCTATCTATCTATCTGTCTGTCTGTCTGTCTGTCTTTGTTCGTAAACTAAACTAGACTAACTCCCAAGTTCTTAATGCTAAGAGAAATTTTCCAGAAGGTGGACACAAGTGAATAACAAAACAGTCAGATCGTCAACAAAGTTTTTCATCTTTCAAGTATACGAGCAAGGTTCATTCGATTCCCGGAAATGTTCATCCAGTTGATAGTGATTAGGTACAGGGTTACAAGAATACTTGACTTCAAATTTGATGGTGGCAATGTCAGAGTGTTCTCCAGGAGATTACATAGAGTTCCCTTACAATGTTGACAATCTGGATTAATATTCCGCTTATTCTGAAGATTTTTTTAATCCCTCACAACGAACACCGTTAAATATCTATTGAAGTTAATAAAATAGACATACGAATCAATACTAGACCGTCGAGCAAAACTCTGAACTGTGGATAATTAAACTTTTATTAGACAAATCCTATCGTCGCTAAACTCAACATCTTTCACATCTACAAAAAGGTTCATTGGATTCCAGGGGGAGGTTATCCAGTCGATAGTTATTAGGAACAGGATTGCGGAGAGAATACAAGAATATTTTACTTCAGTCATGATGGGGTATTGATCCTGCGAGAGAGTTCCCAGGAATAATACAGTATTGGAAACGTTCATAGAATTTGCCTACAATTTAAATATTCCGCTTGTCCTTGTCTTATTATCTCCCGCAATGAACACTGTTAAACTCCTTTTTTGAAGTTAATAGAATGGATACACAGATCAATGATAATCCGGAGAGCAAATCCTTTAATTATGGATACTCAACCATTTGTTAAACAAAACCAATCATCGGAAAAGTCAACGTCTTTCAAGTGAACATGGTTCATTGGATTCCTGGGAGATGTTTATCCAGGCGATGGCGATTATGAACAGGATTGCGGGAGAGGACTTCAAACTTGATGGGGCCATTATTCTGTTACAGATTTCTCCGCGAAATGTGCATAGAATTTCCTTACAATGGTCACAATTTTAGTTACTATTTCTCCTTTCTTGAAGATCCTCTTTTGTAATCTTTCACTGTAAACACAGTTAAATGCCTTTTTGAACTTACTGAAATCAATATACGGATCTATGATGTTCCGAATAGCAAAATCTTGATCTATGGATAATCAACCTTTGCGAAACCATTTCTATCTTTAACATTCAGGATACTGTCAATCCGTTCACATTCATTTTTTTGTATTCTATAATTTTTTACATATTTTTACGTATGTTTTAACATATTTTACATGTATATTTTTTGATGAAGTCAACGAGCATTCGTAGCCACTTTTGTGATATCAATGAATATTTGTTTTCACTTTCGTAGTTCTTGTTGTAGTATAGACTTTATAATCGCAGATACAACTATAGTAACGTTATTGAACAATACTGGTGTCAGACGCCTTCAAATAACACTCGTACTAACAGTACTTGATCGATAATACTCACTCCGTATAGAGAAATAGTATAGTGAATAGAGTAGAAATAGAAATCCGAATAGTAATAGAGGATAGAATAGAAATAACGATCTGTATAGTATAGAAGATAGATTAGATGTGGTAATCCGAATAGAGAATAGACTAAAAATACGATCACTTAGACATCACGCTACTTCCTATATATGCGTTTCTTTTATGGTCATGTCATCCACTTAATTCAATAATGGGATCGCCTGTGTTTGCTCACTGGCGATCTATGTTCAAACTCAAGTGTCGGCAGCGATACTTTATTTCTATATAACAATATTTTGCATATATATATATATAAATATATATATATATATATATATATATATATATATATATATATATATATATATATATATAAAATGAATAAGGATCCTGAAGAATCCATTCAGGTGATAATTTATTTCTTGGACTCAGTTTCCATCTCTTCAGACCAAATTTTACAAAAATAAATCCAGTTCAATTTATTTCAGACACAAGGAAAAGAAAAAAAATTAAAAACAAAGAGAAAAGAGAAAAAGGAAAAAGTTTTAATATTAAAAGGGTAAAGAAAAAAGGGGGAGAAAGGCAGATTTCAATATAAAGTTTTTTTTTTAGGGGGGGAAAGAAAGAAAGATAGACATGGGAAAGGGGAAAGGAAAAGAGGGTGAGAGAGGGAAAGGAAGGAGTTCAGCTAGTCGACAAGGTAACCCATAAAATCTTTACTTTTTCCCGGACTGGGTGTTTTGGATTCCGTGAATGGAATCCTGCACAAATAAAGAAACAACATCAGTAATTGAGATAGAAAAATAAGTGTATTAAACGTAAGAATACAGACTTGAAGTGAAGATTAGTAGTCCATGAACGCGGGTTAGTAGAAAGTATATGTACAAGACTCTGTAAGTAAAGCCGTAATCATATATATATATATATATATATATATATATATATATATATATATATATCTTGTATAACTCTCTGAGAACACCGTGTCTGTCTCCGTATCTCTCAACCTGTCTCAACGTATCTCCACGTATCTCAACATATCTGTATTCTCTCTGTCTTTATAAGTATACTTTTGGACGAAGTCCATCTTATGTAAAAAATTCTTACAACACTGGGGAAAGACTGATCATATTCAAAATAGATACATTGAAATTGTTTAGTCATTTTAAGCAGCGAAACCATCGTCATCGCATTATAACCGTCACAATTACAAACTACTACTAATAATAATAATAATAATAATAAATATTAACATTATTAGTAAAATATTTAACATCAATATAAAGAAATGACATCCATTTAAAAAAAAATGAATTTCCCTCTCTCACTCTATTTCCCTTTCTCCTTCCCATGTCTAGCTCTCTTTCTCTTCCTCCTAACAAAAAATATATTGAAATCTCTGTCTTCCTACCCCTTTTTCTTTCCCCTTTTAATATTACAATCGCATTTGTTGGTGAGGATCTCAGACTCAACACGGAGACCTACATCAAGTGCCTTGTGGAGGTATTGCTGCCTTGGGTCATGAAGGTGGATGTTGGAAGACATATCTTGCAATAAAACTCTGCACCTTGCCACAACAAGCAGTAGAACCTAGTTATGGCTGTCAGACAATTTCTGAGACCACGTTACCCATTTCATCTGACCACATAACTCCCTAGACTGCAACCTCCCCTTGATTATTATGTGTGGGGTGCAGTTGAGTGAGAGACCAACAAAACTCTTTGTAACACCGAAGATGAACTGAAGGTAAGGATTATGGCAGCATCCATCAACTTAAACAAGGAGACCGTTCAGAAGAGTTGCAGGAGATTCCAAAGTCGTCCGAAGGTCGTGGTTGAAGCCAATGACGATTTTATTGAATAAATTTACTCTTTCGTATTCCAAGATATTTTTGATCAATTTTGGTAAATATATCTGCTAAAATGAGATGTCAGTGTTATTTCATTTTTGCGTAATTTATCCATCTCACCCTGTATATATTTATATTAATAAGTACATTAATGTATACACATATTTGATAAAAATATATATATATATATATATATATATATATATATATATATATATATATATATATATTTACATTAAATTTTTCTTTGAACTTATTTTCTTTGAACTTATCGCTAACATTATTTGTCCAAGATTTAAAAAGTCTTTTCTCAATATTGTTTTATATTTGCAATACTACTACTATGCATTATATTTTACCAGAATGAAATATATATAAAAACTTAAAGATTTGTCATTTTAATCATTAATTAAAAAAAAATAGTAGGAGTATTTTGTATATTAATAATATTGCACTTCTCCCCAAAATTTGGTTTCGATTGCTCAATGTATGGATATTTTGGAGGATTACAGAATTTTAGATATAAATTTCGATATTTTATGATCTACAATTTCAGACGCTATCAATCCGTCTACGGAAGATTCTATAGAATGTATAAAAAATTGAATAAAGTGTTATACCTTTCCAGTCGTCACAATAACTGGGATTTGCTTACGTTAGAAGACTTAACATCCGGCACTTTTTTCAATCGGGGATCGCATTTAGATTTTGGCATATATAGCAAATTTTTAGATTTTATTGTCTACTTTCTTAAGCCTATGACACTGTTTTTTATACATTTGTGACATTATCCATCATTATTTTAACAATGTCTCAACCCTATCTCTCCGCTTAGATGCATTGAAGCAATTTCTAAGCTTGATTATAAACCTTTTTTTTTATCTCTGGTAAAAGTCTTGATACGGTACAGTTTTGCTGTTTGCTCGTTATGGTAACTCACAGTTTTCAAATTCTGTCAACCCACTTCGAAATTTTAACAACATAACTATTTTTCCGATTTTTACCTTGAAGAAAACCCATCAGGAAAGAAATCGTCAAAACATAATACATAATTTCGATAAGTTCTTTTCCACCTGACATCAAACGACTTATTCGCCCCTCCAGTAAGTACCTTACTTCTTATGCTAATTTTTGCATTTACGGGAGCCAGATCAGGCCGATAATGCAGTACAGCTGCCATATATAAGCAGGAACTTCCCAGTCATCAATTTCCAGGCTCAGTAGAGTGCAAAAGTGTCTACGCGTCTTTCTGGGTGATGAATTATTTTCCACCTAGTAACACCTTCCCACAGACGAAACATTGCAAGCTTCACGCTATTCTATAATTATTTCCATGTAAAGTGATCAGACGAACTGCATTCTTTAGTTCCACCAGTTATAACCGTTACGGCTAGGACCCGACATGACACGTCCATGGCAAAGGACCGCTCTCGTTCCCTTCTCATTCCATTGGTGAGAATTGAGTTCTACTCAAACCTTTTCTGAATCTGTCACCGCCATTTTGTGGAGTCGACTCCCAAGAGGATGCTTCCCGATTAGCAGAATCTTAACCAGTTAGAATTTAACCGTTATCTACCCCACATATCCTCATAAAGACACTTCTCCCTGTTACCCCTTTACCCTTGGGTGTCAAAGGGCCCTGTACAGGTTAAACTGTTCAAGAAACACTTAACCGAATTTGTAATCTTCTTTTTATCTTATAGAATATGTTTATATCTCATTATAATTCTGCTTATCCCTCCTATAGATCTTTAGTTAGCACGACCGTTACGCCCTGTCAATAACGTCATAAATAATTGTTTTGATCACGAGGAAAGACGGGAAAGGCATATCAAAGATACTAGTTGGTTTCAGTGAGGAAAGAAATAAAAAAGGCGAAAAGAAATATAATTAAAAATAAAGAAAAAGTAAAAAAAAAAAGAAAAGAAAGAAAAAATTCAAAAAGAAATCTTTGAAATTTTCATTTTATAATATAACATAATAATGTATAAGAAGGATTTCTGTCTCAATATACAATATTTAATAGTCCTGGGTATGACGATAAACTACATCCGGCAGCAAGGCCACTGGTTGAGAGATTGGGGGTTTTGAGGAGTGCGGAACCACCTCTTAATTGCTGTTGTTCCATGCTGACCTGAAGTGGGAGCTCCTGTTAGGTGGGGGCAGCTATAGTTAACCCCCAAACTGGGGTCAAAACAATATGAAAGTATAAATAATAAATTTTTTAGTGAAAATACCAACAATATATATTTATAGTAAAATTATCAACAATACATTTCATAAAATTTCATAAAATTGTTCAAAATATTTACATTTTGGCATTAAATAATCCATAGAGGTCGATATGCCGCTAAATAAAGTCAACTGACCATAACTTCTTAGACTGTAATGTACGAAAGACGTAAAGGCTTTTGTTTGTTTCTCTGTGTGTGTGTGTGTGTGTGTGTGTGTGAGCGAAAATTCTGCAATTCATTAGCATGAAATCGAGCATGGTAATACTTTTTGCATTGTCTTTTTAGACAATGCAAAAAGTATTTCAGCAAATAATCAAAGCAACTGTCAGTGGAGTGAAAGAATTTTGAATTAGTTTTTTCATTTGATGTTTTCAGCAGCGTCATTTTTTTTTCTTTTATCAAAATAACAGTAGGCTAGAGAAGGTACTGACCTTACATTAAATGCTTTATTAGTTATTTTAAAATTACCTTTGACCAGATCAATTACACCAGGACAAACATCACACAGATAGGGGAGTTGAAAATATCTATCTATCTATCTATCTATCTATCTATCTATCTATCTATCTGTCCGTCTGTCTGTCTTTGTTCGTATGAATGTATTTTATCTCAGGCTGTTCATATCTATTATCTATCTATCTATCTATCTATCTATCTATCTATCTATCTATCTATCTATCTGTCTGTCTGTCTGTCTGTCTTTGTTCGTATGAATGTATTTTATCTCAGGCTGTTCATATCTATCTATCTATCTATCTATCTATCTATCTATCTATCTATCTATCTATCTATCTCAATCTGTTCATATCTATCTATCTAGCTAGGTGTCTTGATTTTATCTATCTATCTGTCTATCTATCTCAGTCTGTTCATATCTATCTATCTAGTTTTCTATCTGAACAGACATAGGAACAGGCATAGATCTGGAATAGACACAAGATTATTACATCCTAAGATAGATAGATGAATGAATAAATAGAGAGAGAGAGAGAGAGAGATGAATAATGAACATAATGAGATAGATAGATAGATGATGAATAGATAGATAAATAGATAGATAGATAGATAGATAGATGAGGCGATTTGAGATTGACAGATATGATGAATGAAAGTGATGTCAACATTTAGAACCTAATTTCCGAGCGGAGTAAACATGTTTGGCTGGGGAGTGGCACATCGTAGGTGGGTGGAAAATTTGGATTCCTGCCGTTTTTAGCCGAGTAAATGTTTTTTTTCTTTCTTTCCTTCTTTCTTTCTTTCTTTCTTTCTTTCTTTGACAATTCATCTTTCTTTCTTTTTATCATGCATCATTCGAAAGATCGACAAAAAATAGCTTAAATGAATCCTGACACTTGCAAAGACGAAAATAACATGTACTCGGCAAAGGTGAACATTATTTTTATTATTACCCTGCTTACTGACAATAATGTCTTTTTTATCGTGCTTCTTAACGTTGCTATTCATTCAGTTATTATTATGAAATCATTATTCCCCTCATCATTATTGTTTTCTTTTTTTTTTTTATTATTGTTCGAGTGAATGCTGAAAAGTTCTTGCTCCGACCCATTTTCGAAAATCAAAATTTCAATAACCAAACATAATTGTTTGAAGATAGATGCCAATATATTTCATTGTTCAACATCATTCTTTTCAGCAATCCGATAGCTAGTGTTTCTTGCCAATGAAACATTAACATATCTTCTGGTGTCGGTTTGGTTTGGTTTGGTTTACGGCATAACAACCTCGATAGGTTATTTAATGCCGACAATTTTTATTGCTGGTAATATTTTTTTTCAAAAATGTATTGCTGGTAATTTTTTTTTTAAATGTATAGCTGGTAATATTGTATCGCTGGTAATAATTTTTACAAAGTATTTCGGTTATTAAAACCTATTTTTACACTTTCATAGTAAGTATTTCTGGTAATATTTTTCCCTTCAAAAGTCTTTTTCTGGTAAGTTTTTTCTTTTCAAAAATCTATTGCGGTAATTTTTTTTTTTTCCTAAAATCTACTGCAGGTAATATTTTTCAAAAAATGAATTGCTGGTAATATTTTGTTTTTAAGAATTTTCCATTAAAATGAATTGCTGGTAATAATTCTTCCTTCACAAAAGCACAACTAGTAATAATTTTTTCCTACAAAAATATATTGCTGGTAATAGCTCTTCAAAAAGTATTACTGGTAAAAAATTTTCTTCAAAATGTATTCTTGGTAAAAACTTTACCCACAAAAAAGTATTGCTGGTATTAATACCTATTTTTATATCTCCACATCGTTTTGACTCCTATTTGGGATCAACTATGTATCCATAGCTTGGACCCTAACAGGTGCTGCCACCCCGGGTTAGGGTGGACCTGGGAATACCAGCAATTAAGAGGTGATTCCACGCTCCTCAAAACCTCCTGATCAGAAGCCTTGTTGTTGGACGTAGTTTATTGTCTTAACCGGGACGCAGATGTAGTTTATCGTCTTATCCAGGACGCCTCATTTAGGGGGTGGAGGTCTTACCCCCACTGCAGAAGTACAGTCGGCGTATTCTGAACCTTCAGCCGACAGGGCCATCTGGTGTCGGTTTAAAATGATACCTTCTTGTTCTCCAGATATTGCAACGATTTTGATTAAAGTTCATATTTTCCTGATTTCACATGAAAACTTGGATAAGTTCCAAGATATTTCGGTGAAATTTTGAATTTTTTAAAATTAAAGATCACAATTATATTTTAGATATATTTTGGTTCATCCAAAGAAACGTGGACCTAAGGTTTAAAATTAATTTTTAAAATTAACTTTTAAAATTAATTTTTAAAATTAACTTTTAAAATTAATTTTTAAAATTAATTTTTAAAATTGAAAAATCTTTTTGAAGCTATTATTTTAGTTTTAATTCGAATCTAATAGATTAAATTTAATATTTCCAGTAAGTAAAATTATTTTCATTTGAGTGGAACTAATTTTCTTATCTATCGACTTCAGTCTGATCATATCTATCTATCAATCTATCCCAGTATGATCACATCTATGCCAGTCGGTTCATGTCTATCTATCTGATCATATCTATTCCACTCCGATCATAACTATCAGTCTAGTTATATATCAATCTATCATTTTATCTCTTTATGACCACATCTATCTATCTATCTATCTATCTATCTATCTATCTATCTATCTATCTGATCATATCTATCTCAGCCAGATCATATCTATCTTAGCCTGATCATATCTATCTCAGTCTGATCATATCTATCTCAGTCAGATCATATCTATCTCAGCCAGATCATTTCTATCGCAGTCTGATCATATCTATCTCAGTCAGATCATATCTATCTACCTATTATTTATCTCGGTCTATTTTTATCAGCAGCGTTCGATGGATAAATCTTCGTCTAAATTACCCAAAAATATAAATAACACCGACATCTAATTTTAGCGGATATATTTACTAAAATTACACAAAAAAATATCTTGAAATATGAAAGAGTAAGTATATTCAATAAAATCGCCATTGTCTTTAATCATGGCCTCCAGACGAGTTTGGAATCTTCTGCAACTTTTCTGGACGGTCTCCTTGTTTAAGATGGTGAATACTCCCATAATCCTTACCTCCAGTTCATCTTTGTAATAAGTTTTGTTACTCTCTCACTCAACTGCGCCCTACACATAATAAACAGTCAGTTTGGGGAATTACGTGTCCAGATGATGTAGTCACAGAAATTGTCTGACAGCTATGACAAATGTCTCCTGTTTGTTTGACATGGTGTAGAGTCCTGTTGCCAGATATAGGGTCATCCAGCAGCCACCATTTCCTTATGGCGGCACTAACTCCTCAAGGCAATTGATGTGGGCCTCTGTGTTGAGGCTGAGGACCTGTGAGAAGATGAATGAAGGCATAACATCGCCATCACTAATGATTATTCCAAGCACCTTCGTAATCAACATTAGATTCATTCAAATGTTTTCAAATTCTCTACAATGCCCTCAGACTAACACCCAAATACTCGGAAATATTAGTATTGGAGCTTCCGAAACGAATGCCAATCAATACAGCATGCCGTTTCCAAATTTCTGGCGAAACGAATTGCAACAAACAACGGTCATTTTAAAAGACAGTTTTTTTAGAAAAACTTCAATCATCTATCTCAAAAAAAATAAAATCTTGATCTATCTATCTATCTGTATGTATTTGACTGTGTTTTTAACTATTATCTGCAAATCATCATCGTTGTTTATATCTATCTATTTCACTCAAAATCTTTTAATGAGCCAATGGGTTTATTTGTCCAGATTTAATTTTTCCACTTGTAACCAAAATGCAGCTATAATTTTTTTTTTTTTGCAAAAAGCATGCTAGTTAACATTCGTGTCAGTTAGCTGTTGGCTCTCACGCTGGCCAAATGAATCTTCCTGCCTAAACACAATGGCAATTAGCTATAAGGGATTATCCGGTCCAGTAAAAAAATGGCCGCAAACTACATGAAAACTGCCGTAGAAGCAGAAAAAAAATCGATTATTTCCACTATCGATGGAGCTGAGAAATGCATAAAAGTCAACTTGGCCTTCAGGTAACTTGGAGCATGTGCATGTAAATTTTGGTTCAAATCCGTCGAAAATTGGCTATGCATTTTGAAACACACACACACACACAACTGCATTGTTGCACACACATTTTTAACAAAATTTTTTTTTTGACACACACACACATTCACATTTTCACATGTACAAACACAAAGGGTTCACACTGAACAACAACACACAAACAACAAACACACACAAAATTTGGTTTGCAACACACATGTACAATTTGCACACAAACACACAAACGCACACACACATCCTAAATTAATTTATAGATAGATTTAAAAGGACATAACGGTTTGTTTATTTAAGATGTCAAGACAGCTCAGATTGGGAATACCAACCTAAATTCATATGTTCTATCATTGCAGCATATTTTCTTGAATTTAAATGCTATTTCAGTGAAATTACTTCAACTATACGAATTAAATGAAAATAATGATAAAACCCTTATTGCAGGGGGTTTTCTCTTAACACATAGGCGTTGAAGATGGTCACTTTTAAAGTCATTGATGCCATTAAAATACCTAACTGTCCACTCCTCACGATCCAAGCCCACATGTTCAAATGTTTTCTGTGAGATGCTGACAGCCGCAAGATAGCTCTATAAAAGTAAATAATGACTTACCTACATTTTCTTTTTGGCGTGAAAAAAAGCATGAAAGTATTGACTTTATCCAGTATCGTACAATCATTCTGATAAACAATAGCCCAAAATTTTACATAAGAAAAGTCTCAAAAATGGAAAATTTTTTAAGTCAGTTGAAAAGGTCAATATTTGACATAAAAAAAAATAAAACTCTGGAGCTAAAATTTCCAGAAGAATAAAGATTTGAAAAATAGTGTTAAAATTGAAATTTTAACCATAGACTGTCAGGACACCTTAATTTGGAGATTAAAAATTTCGTGGCAGACAGCTTATCAATTCTTTGCAGGTTATTTAAAAATAGAAAATATTTTAGATTGTAAGAATTGTTTTTAATAAAGGATTAGCAATACTAGTTTTACTAATTAACCCATACCTGGGGAGAGAAGAGATGGATTCATACCTTTCCCTCGGATATGAATACTTGCATACATTTATGTACTTGCATATAAATATATACTGGGTGAGATGGATAAATTACGCAAAAATGAAATAACACTGACATCTCGAAAAAAAGCAGATATATTTATCAAAAATTGATCAAAAATATCTTGGAATACAAAAAAGTAAATTTATTCAATAAAATCGTCATTGGCTTCAACCACGACCTTCGGACGAAGTTGCAGAATCTATTGCAACTCTTCTGAACGGTCTCCTTGTTTGTTGATGGATACCATAATCCTTGCCTTCAGTTCATCTTTGGTGTTACAAAGAGTTTTGTTGATTCTCATTCAACTAATTCCCACACATAATAATCAAGGGGTTTGCAGGATTATATAGAATGGTCAGATGAAATGGGTAACGTTTCTAAAGAAATTGTCTGACAGCCATAACTGGTTCTATTTTTGGTAGGAAACAGAGTTCTTATTAGACTGTAGCCCGGGACACCTATTTGGAGATTAATTGATTCGTTTTTTTACAGCTTATAAATTCTTTTCTATGTTATTTAAAATAGAAAATATTTTTAAATTTTAAGAATTTTTTTTAATAAAGGATTTTATTTACGAGTTTTATCTAATTAACCCATACCTGGGGAGAGCTTTGAGATGGATTCATATCTTTCCCAAGGATATATGTGTCTATGTGAATATAACGAACCCAACTGTTATCATTACACCACCTGCACCTCTAAGCTTAGAGTACCTGGTATTTCCCAACTAGGTACTAACCAGGCTCAACGTTGCTTAAATTCGGTGATCGTACGGGGGCCAGCGTTTCAATGTGATGTGGGCGTCAGTCTTCCCGTCCGGGGATTCCAACCCTACGCTAGCACATTCCTCCTAACACTAAGATATTTTAAGGTAAGTGTGAATCTAGACGCAACTATTGACGGTCCATTTGGGGACAGGTAATTTTTGTCCGCTTGATTAAAGAAAGCTATAATCCCCTGGGATCCTACAGAAATGAAAAGCAAAGAAAATGAGGAAAAAGGATTCAATATCAAATACAGAATGCAGGGTTGTTAACAAAAGAATGAGCCCAATTGGAGGTACCAGAATCAAACAAATACAGAAATTTAAATATCTGGGATCTGTTTTAACAGAGGACGGAAGAAAAAAAGACACTGAAATCCGAAGGTGTAAAATTGAAGGATAGCCTAGGAATTTTTTTCAAAAAAGCTAACAGAGTATTAAGAATCAGAAACAAAATCGAAAAAAACAAGGAAAACAGTATTATACTGCTATGTGATTTATTTGACATACGAGAAAGTGCCACACAATAATAAAAAAATATGAAGAAAGACAGTTGAAGTAAACAGAAATATATTTCTTTGGACATGAGGAGGATGTGAATTTTGAGTATGTGAATAACAACGAAATTTAGAGAAAATGGAAAAAAAAAAATTCGTTTATACTTAACATCAGGAAGAGAGTTGTAATTTTTCAATAGGGTTAGAGAGAACTGATAGTTTCTTTGGTGGCAAATAATCAGGAAGGGGTTGGAAAACTTTGATACCTAACAGGGCATTTTGAAAAAAAAGAGGAACATTTGAAAACAACGCATAGATTCTTAGTGAAATCTTTTTGAGCAAATGGATAACGGGAGAGGCTGATTAGAAATATCAGAAAGACAAAGTTTATTGAGAGCTACAAAAGCCAGGAAGTTGTGGAGAGCCATGATCATCTACGTCCCGAGGGGATGCGTCACATAAAAAAAAGTTTGCCATTTCTCATTCCGTGCCTTTATCGATTACATCACATCACACATCTACCAGTCAGATTTGTTACAGTCAACTGACGGGCAAACATCATTGGGAAAGGTATCAATCTATCTCTTTGTTGTGGAGTGATTTCACAGTGGAGGCTTGTAATTGTACTAAGTCGGTCCTAAAATAGGTTCGACGTACAAAACGTTACGATCTAGATATAATAGGTATAACGCAAAGTAATCTAGTGGTGGTCACTGATACTTTAGTATCCGACTAACGGTCGTCCGACATCGACTGACTCAACGACCGACCCACTCACTGACTAACACGTTACTCTTACTACTCCTACTTATTATAGGTGGGAGAGTCTATTAACTATAGAATAGGTGTGTTCCACTATAACACACTTCTCCCCAGCTATGGGGTGAATAACAGGACAGACTGTTTTCTATAGCCTTGATTGCCAGCCCGGAAAAAGAAACGGCAGCCTACAGCGTCGAAATCTTCTGCTTAGTTAGTCATGAATCGAATGAGACATGATCACCCAACCGTGTTTCACGTATGGAACTTAACTGACTGAGCAGTCTGCTTTTTACCCTATTTACATTGTTCGGACTGTTGTCCTCATCCTTACTGTCACATCCACGGCGTTTCGGTCTTCTTCAGGTGATATTAGCTGGAATTTCAGATCAAACCCTTTATTTAGTCCCCGAGTGTAGATTGTTCTAATTCCACGCGCCATGCCTCTGGATATCTCATTTTAAGTTAATTCCTTTTAGTAAATCAACACTCCAAGCTTTTAAAGTTTCGATGGAAACAAAGAAAAGAGTATTGAACTGCTACATGA